TTATGCAGGGAGGCTGTTAGGAAGGCCAAGGCAGAGATGGAGCTAGGGCTAGTGACCAGAATTAGGAATAACAAAAAGTCCTTTTTCAAATATACAGGGAGTAAGAAGGCACCAGGTATTGTGGGGCCCCTACAGGATAGGCTTGGCAATCTGGTGACTGCAGAAAATGAAAAAGCTGACCTCTTTAACGAATTCTTTGCCTCCATATTCCTGAACAGGGACTAGGGCATTTCCCCCACTAGGATTACGGATGGACCCAGGGGAGGCACCGCCATGCCTAGGGCCAGGGACAACCTAGTTAGGGAACTTTTGGAGGGGCTGGATGTGTTTAAATCAGTAGGTCCAGATGCTCTTCACCCAAGGGTACTAAGGGAATTGGCGGGGGTCACAGCAGGACCCTAGCACGGCTGTATGAGTGCTCATGGGGCTCTGGCCAGGTACCAGAGGATTGGAAAAGGGCTAATGTGGTCCCCATTTACAAGAAGGGGAGAAAGGAGGACCCCAGCAATTATAGGCCAGTCAGTCTTACCTTGGTCCTTGGGAAGACCTTTGAGAAAATGATCAAGTAGCACATCTCCAAGGGCCCAGTAGGGGAGGTAATCCGCAGGGGCAACCAACATGGGTTCATTGAGGGCAGATCCTGCCTGACTAACTTGGTTTCCTTTTATGATCAGGTCACAAAGTCCCTGGATGAGGGCATCAAGGTGGATGTCATCTTCCTGGACTTTAAGGCCTTTGACACTGTTTCCCACCACATTTAAAAAAAACAAAGAACTAGGTGACTGCAGCATTGATGCCTACACAGTCAGATGAGTGGCAAATTGGCTAGGTGGTCACACCCAGAGAGTGGTGGTGGACTGGTTGTTTTCAGCCTGGAGGGATGTGGGCAGTGGAGTCCCCCAGGGCTTGGTCCTGGGGCCTCTACTGTTCAACATCTTTATCAGAGATCTGGATGTGGGTGTGAAAAGCACACTGTCCAGATTCGCTGATGACACCAAGATGTGGGGCGAGGTGGACACGCTGGAGGGGAGGGACAGAATCCAGCTAGATCTAGACAGGTTACAGAGGTGGGCGGAAGAGAATAGGATGGAATTCAATGCAGACAAGTGCAAGGTACTGCATCTAGGGAGAAGGAACCAGCAAGACACGTATAGGTGGGAATTGGGGGAGGCTCTTTTCCCCCGGGCACCATCTGGGGTTACTAGGAATAACGGCCATAAATTGTCAGAGAGACGGTTCAGGCTGGACATCAGGAGACATTACTTTACAGTTACGGTCTACTACAGACCCCCCAACCAAGGGGAGGAACTGGACCGGGAATTTTTGGGCCAGCTTGCAGAGGCACTTAAGGCAAGGGATATAGTTGTCATGGGTGATCTAAATTACCCAGACATCTGCTGGGAGGAGCAGTCAGCTAGGTCAGACCGTTCCAAGAGGTTCCTAGCCAAGATACAGGACTTCCACTTAACCCAGGAGGTGCGCAGTCCCACTAGAGGAAATGCCCTGTTGGACCTGGTCCTGGCCACAGGCGATGATCTGGTAAGGGGGCTCCAGGTCCTTGACCACCTTGGTGATAGCGATCATCGCTTGCTGGAATTCAGCATCCAGCATGCAGGGTGTCAAGGGCCTGCAGTAAGGCGGAAGCCCTAGACTTCAAGAGGGCCAACTTCAAGGAGTTGAGGAGACTGGTGGGAGAGGCTCTGGGGTTCTTGAGGGGAACTCAGTGCCCAAGATGAGTGGTCGTTCCTTAAGGAGATGATACTCAGGGCCCAAGGGGTGACGATCCCAACAAGAAGCAAGGCGGGCAAGAGTGCCCAAAAGCCCCCCTGCCTCACCAAGGACGTCCA